AGCAGGGATTGTGCACGCGATGAAGGTTAATAATGACCGAGGGCGATCCCCACTCACAAGCTTGAGGCACTGAGCACGGATGTAGAGCACAGGTAATGAGAAGCGTGGCAGAAGTACCACGTGGCTGAAACAGTGACGGCGTTCCTAGTAAAAGCCATTGGAAACAGGGTTGACTGGGCTGAGAGAAGGCAGGTGGGAAGGACATATTGCAGGCTCAGGAACAGAGCAGCTGTGGTCGCAGGGCAGTGATAAGCCTGAAAAAAAGGCATCAAAATACATTCATAGTGATGTTGAAAGGGGAGTAACTATTGTCAGCAGATTTACCTGCTTGGTGTGCACGCTGTGTGCGTTCCCATGTAAAATGAGTGTGCAGGTGCTCATTTTGTAATTTTTGTTATGTCTTCAGCTACTGAGGGAAAAGTTGGTGCTAAGAGAACAAGTGGGGCTAGAGTGATGGGAAGGATAGAAGAGCGTTTACAAAATTTGTGGGTAAGCAACTGGCAGTTGTGCGGACAATGTTACTTCTCAGAAACAAAAGCTGAACATTCTCTTGTTTGTTTGTTTGTTTCCCTGAGAGTTGGTGTCAGAAGATCAGAGTGTCTGTTCATCCATGCCAGCCCTTCTCCTGCAGAGAACTGTTTAAATCTGGGAGGAAGAAGCCTTATCATTTGTGTTCTCAGACACAGATGCTTTTTATGCTTTTGCAGTGTTTTACAGCTGCTTATCTTGGAGTGCCATAGCAAGCCACTTCCAGACTGCAAGTGCTCACTGGAAAGCTCACTGAGATGCAAAGGCAATATAACCTTGTACTATTGAGCACTATAAACAACTTGGACGGGGCCTGCTGGATGAATCCCTGGGGTTCCTTCTTTTAGTGGTTTGCAGTCATAAGTAGCTTTACTGAAAAGGGGAAGCTGGAAAACCCATCCCAGACGTGCAAATGTTAGTTTCTCCCAGGTTCTTTCCCAAGTAAGTGTGAGTGACTGACATATCCCAGCACTGGCTTTATCTGCTTAGTATAGGTGGCCCTTGCTGTTTCCCACACACAGTTATAAGGTTGATCTTAAAGTCCAAAATATCTCTCTCTGATTACTGAACTATTCCATTGTTGTTCTGGAAAACCCCTATAAAAATCTGCTGGGAACTGGTATCAGGAAAGTAAGGAGGGGAGCTGTGTGGGCTGTTTCATCATCTGAGCTCTATCACCAGATTTATTTTAGAGGAGCCTCGCTCCTGGCTCATTGCAGAGGTACTCAATTGCATGTTGTCCACATCCTAGTCCAATTCATCACAGAAAATCCTTGTCAGAAGCTTTCCCAGCTCCCTTCAGGGAACTGTATTCCACAGCCTAATACACTTTGCTTCAGTGATGCTACCCCTAAAATCTCTTTCAGGCTTATTGCATCTGTACCCTTTTCACCATTCCGGTCCCTTCTCCAAGGGCAGTGTATTCAGAGAACGATGATGTATGGTGTGGTTTTTTAGTATTCATAATTAAATACAGAACTCAAAATATGTGATGGAAAAGGTGATGAAAGTTGACTTGTTTTTTGACATTCTTTCAATCAGCAATGCTGTTACTGTCTCAAGGAGTTTGGTAAATGACAGTGTGCTCTTTCTGGCTGATGGGTAGGTATGAAACCAAGAGGAAATTCCAGTCTCTGGAATTTAATTTTCCTGTGGGGAACTTAAATACTAAGGGATTTAATTTTCCTGTGGGGAAGTTGTGTGTGAGCGGTCTGTCTGTCCCCCGCCATGTTCTTAGATGGTAATTGAATTCTTTCATCAGCAATTTTTTTCTTTTTATAACAGGATAGCGACCTCTCACCTCTGAGAACAGCATTTCTGGACCTGCTGACAGCCTCTGCTGCTCGCCTTACCTAGCGCAATGTCAGGTGAGCAGACAAAAATGGACACAGTATCTTCTTGTTTGGTTGCTTGTTCTTTCTTCAGCTGCAACTTAGTAAAAGAAAGTTACTGGTTCCAAGAGCCGTTAATTAACATTAACATCCTGTCTGGGCAAATTGGGGGAGAGGAAGCCACCCGAGTCTTTGTGACTGAGCTGCCTTTTCACTCAGGGTGATCTCAGTTCCTTCTTTTACCCTGTGCTGAAGCCTGCAGAAGCTGCTTCAGTCATTGAACACAGAGGAAGAAGGAGGATGAAATGTAGTCTGCCTTCCCCATTTTTCATAAGGTTTGCTTGCTTCTGTTCTTCTCCCAAGATTTGCTCCAAAATGTGTGGCTCACTTATGATCTGAGAGATTTTTGCTGTACAATGGTAGCTCTAGGGCAGGCAGAAGGCTGAAGAATTACTGGAGTTCAACTGTGGACTACTGAACTTTACTAAAATTAGGTTTCCTTCTTACAGTGGCCAACTCTCTGACCCCATATTTTTGTCTAAACTTTCCTTCCTGGTCCAGCTGGTTACTTCAGGGCATATAACCCTGAGGGAGGCTATACTTCAAAGCCAAGTAAACCTTTTTCTCGGTGATGTGCACAGTGGAAGACCTGGGACATGCTTATCTGCTTCAATTGCAAAACTTGATGTCTCCTTTTATTCCAAGGGAAGCTATTCAGTGGGACACTACCTGAGACTGGAAAGGTGCTTATCTCGAACACAAAAGACCAAGATGATAGACATGCTTTCATTGCTGCAGCTCTCTATACATAGTCTAGCAATATTCCAGCCCTTCTGGAGCAAAGGGAGCAGTTGAGACTCTTGCTGAGGGCTCTGATTTCCCATTTTGGTGCCTGGGTGACAAAGTTTCAGCGAACTCTAGAGTGCTGCTGGAGCTGGGGTCAGTGCCTCTATAGGAGGCATTTACTTCTCCATAATAATTTTTTTTTTTTTAAATGGGTTCCCCTGGCTTGGCACTGATCGTACAGCTTTTCCAAGCAGGAAAAAGATCACATGATGCCATGAAACTATTTCTCTTCCCTAAAAGTCCCTTTCTTAGAGGGAACCCCATTTGGCCTTCCTGCTTCTTTTGCTCAGTAATAAGGGTCAAAACCATCTGAAATTACTTGCTTCCTTGGTGAAGTGGGAGCTGTCTCAATGCCTAGAGTACCAGTAGTGACAAACTGTTGCGTGAGTCTTTCCCTTGCTGGAACAGTCTGTATTAAGTGTGTGTCTTCCAAGGGAGTCCTTCTAGGTTTTCACTGCTGTATGTTGATCTCTTTCTGTTTAGGCCATCACACTCCGTCTGCTGGGGGTCCCTTCTCAGCACTCACTCCCAGCATTTGGCCTCAGGAGATCCTGGCAAAATACACACAGGTACAGTGCGGGGCAGGGAGAGGGTGTTCTCTGGCTCTGCACAGACATAAAGGGACCCTGGTGATTTCTGGTGGTCTCTGAAAGCTGCAGGGAGAAGGAGGGAGGGGTACGCTTCTCCTCCGGTGGTTTAGTTGTGGATGCTTGTTTGCTACTTAAATTTCACGTGTTTTGTAGCTGCATCCTGGCTCTTGCAAGAGGATCTTGCAGAGCACAAAGAAACTTGTGTGAATTATTGCCCTGCTGTTTTGCAACTATTGCTCCACTGTAAAAATGTTGACACCCTCAGGGAGTCTCTGTCGCCATCAGGCTACTCTGGATGGCTTGTGCATGGCAGGAAATGCTAGCCTCAAGACTTGTCACCAGGTGGGCAGAGCAGGAAGGAAGGCAGCAAGCAGCTGTGGAATTTTGCAACTTACCCGCAGTGTTTGCTGAAGGCAGTTGAGCTCAGTGAAGCAGATTAAAGCTTATTGTGGAGCTATGCTAGAAGCACGCCTGGGTGCTGCCTGGGCGCAATGCTTGCGAGAGACCCCACAGGAGGGGCAGGTGAGCTTGCAGGAAAGGGGAGGTATCTGTAGGTTTTCAGTCCTTAAAAAAGCCTGGTTGTAGCCTCCAGTGTGTATCCCCCAATGCCAACCACGAGGAAAGTTGAGATTTGGGTCATGGACCTTAATTTCCTTTGGCCTATAATTTGAGCTTGCTTCACGGGTGCAAATCCCAGTTTTGCCTGCTGTCTTTCAGAGCAAATCTGGAAGCGACAGGCAGGAGATGGAGCAATGCAGAGAGCTGAATTTGCAGTATGCGTGCACTAGGTGACAGAGGACTGCTGTGTATTAGAGATGCAGACAATAGAGACCACTTTAGCTGGTGTATGTGGGTTCCTCAGTCCGTGAGGAGGGCTGTGTTCCCCTTCAGGTGGGGAAGTTCTGATCTTGGTATGATGCTGCACTCAAGCAGAGGTACCAAGCCCTGCTGGAAAAGGGATTGCTGGGAAAATCTCTATAGGTGGGAAAGCGGGGCTTCACAACTTCCATGGAGAAGTCAAAACAGGGGTGGCATGCAACACCTCCCCAGCTGGGAATGATGGTGGGAGGCATCAAAAATAAAAGGGCAAGGAGTATCGTTGCTCAGAGGAGGACACAGTGCGGGCAGTGGTGGGATGGGGCAATATCCACATGTCTCTATTCAGTTGTTCAAGACTGGTGATAGTGTCTGTTCTCCTTCCTCACATTCCCCAGAAAGAAGAATCCATCGAGCAGCCAGAGTTCCACTATGATGAATTTGGTTTCCGAGTTGATAAGGAAGGTAAAATCAGTCCCATCCCTAACCCTTCCGCTGTGTCTGGGTCCAGCCCTTCCCATGCTTTGGGGTGATTTTACAACCATTCTGTGCTAGGTCTCATCTACCCACCCGTCATCATCTTTCTGTATCCTACCGCTGCAATCAAGGGCCGTACATTAGATGTGCTGGCCTTATGGGGGTCTGGAACATAGAATATGCAGCAGAGTAATTTCCATCCCCTTATGCTTGTGCCGTGGGTAAGAGAGAGAGGAAAGTTAAGAAGTTATCATTTCCACTAGCATCTGCATGCTGGGGAAGGGCAACTTTCCCAGTTGACAGTGGGGTCTCTGTTGTGGTCGGTAGCACTGTAAGCACCGACAGCAGGCACAGTGACACGTGCTGTCTGTTGAAAAACTTGTGATCAAGATGAGTGGCAGCAGTATGTGTTCTGCCCAGCCTAGGAGCTTGGCAAAGTGTAGGGCAAACTGTAGGGGCGGAACCCACATCCTACTTTTTCTGCAAGATATAGAGGCAGGAGACCAAACAGAAGGAGGTGTGGAGAGCTATTGCAGCTGGGCATTGAACTACAACAGCTGGCTGCCTTTGCAAAGAGAAGGAGAAAGGAGTGGGGGATGTAGGAATTGCTTTATGTGCTCTGAGAGGACATTTCCAGGGCTCAGGCCATACAGTGCAAGAGCAGAAATTGTTTGCATGTGTGCCCTGAGGCACCTTGAGTCATAGAGGATCCTCTTTGAAGCAATGACCTGTAGATGAGGACAGGACACAGCAATTTTCTTCAGCCGGAACATTTGATAGACTTGTGCATTATAAAATCAGCAGAAAGACTTGGACTGCATTGTTGGGATGTGTTACGTGATGAAGGACAGAGTGCCTTACGTCAAACCTGTACTTGTGCTAAAGTTTCTATTTTAGAAAGCCAGCCTCAGGTTAAGGTGCTCTCATTGTGAATTTGGAAGTGTTCTTATGAAAGCTTTTTTGGTGATTAAATATCCCCAAAGTTAACATTTTGCGCCTCATTACTTGCATGAGCATATAGCTTCTGCTTGCCACCTCTGAGGCTTGCTATGCTTTTGTCAGCCTGATTTACAGATCCTTACAAAACCCAGCAGGATGACTGCTGTCTGGGTCTTGTTTAATTCCAGCCACACTCTGCTCTAAATCATGAGTAAGTAGAGACTAGAAGCCTGCTGACAGCTTCTTAGTTCTCAAGGCCCCAATGCCTTTTGCTTATGACCATAAAATTTGCTGCATGGAGAAGACAGACAGAAACCAAGCTTTGCCTTTCCATGCTCTGGCTGAAAGACGTGAATGTTTTTAATGTGCTTGCTTCAGATGGCCTTCTTACTCCCCACCCTGCCCTATGCTTGTTCCCTCTCCTCCTCCCTCTCTCACTTGTCTCTATTTCATTCTCCTCCCTTTGCTGAGGCAGATGGTGCTGAGCCAAACTCCAGCAAGCTTCTGGGGGTCCCACTGACGGAGGAGCCACAGCAGAGGCTCAAGTGGCAGGCTCATCTGGAATTCACACACAACCATGACGTGGGAGACCTCACCTGGGACAAAATTGAGGTCACCCTACCGCATTCAGACAAGCTGCGCTCCCTGGTGCTAGCTGGCATCCCGCACAGCATGAGGCCACAGGTGAGAGTGCTGCCTGTTCTGGGCAGGCTCTCCTGCCTGGAGTAAGAGACAGTGGAGCGAGACTACTTCCTCTTGGTCGAGAGGGCTCCAGATTATGGCTTCCTGTGGCTGGCTTAGTGACCCTTCCTATCTCTGTTCACCCTGTCCCCCCAGCTGTGGATGCGCCTGTCGGGGGCCTTGCAAAAGAAGAGGAATTCAGAGATGTCATATCGGGATATCGTGAAAAACAGCTCTAACGATGAAACCATTGCTGCCAAACAGGTAGGCAATACTGCCTAGTGCTGACTGGGCGCGGGCAAGATTTGCTGCGTGAGGAGGAAGGGGTGTCTGCCTAATACCTGCAGCAGGGACAGCTGAGAGGCCATGTGTGGCTGAACCCTGCTAAAGCTTAATCCTGTTGGGCATATTTCTCCTTTGTTGGAATAGCAATTGTGCAGCTCCCCTGCTTCCTAGGACAGCAGGGAAGGGGTTGCACCCATGCTGCCTGCAGGCTAGAAAACAGGGCTGCTGTTGCATCTCCGCAAACATCCTGGTATTCATTGAGAGAAGTGAAGGGTGAAGGGCTGACAGATGCACCTCTGTTGAGGTAGTGGCAGCTGCTTCCAGGGACTTTCTTTGTTCCCTCAAATACAAAGTCTCTGAACACCAACAAGACTGTTACAGGGTGTTTCCCTTCTTCCTCTGACCTCTCCTTTTGTGGGAGGAGGCAAAGGCTGTGGCAAAAGAAACTGAGCTGTGCGCCTGTTCGCATCTCACTAAGAAGTTAGGTTCAAAATGTTTGGAAGGAGGAGCAACACTGCCCAAGGGAGATCTGTGGGCTGTTCACCTCCAAGTCCCCTGTCACAGATGTGGCCAGGTTGTTGGTTTCTTTCTGGGATAGGTTTGTTGGAAAGCCTTGCTTGAAGTCCAAGCAGATGAAATTCCCAACCAGTATGCCTACTATTCTCAGTGGTGACGCTAGGGGCTGAGTTTAGGCAAGTATTTCTTGGGAAACACCAAGTCACCGTCTGCACTGGCATTTTCCCACGTGTCAGTGAAGGCTGTTAAACTGACCCCAGGTGCTTGGACAGGGCCATCTTCTTTGGTGCCTAAGGACTTATGCATGAGTGTGGGGAAGCACAGTTCCCTGAGGCAAGAGGCCATGGGGAAGTGCAGAGAGCAATTGTTCAGATGCTGCTAGCTGACCCTGTCCTTGCTTATGGCTGTCTCACAGATTGAAAAGGACTTGCTCCGCACGATGCCCAGCAACGCCTGCTTCTCCAACATGAACAGTATCGGGGTGCCACGGCTACGCAGGATACTACGGGGGCTTGCCTGGCTCTACCCAGAGATTGGATATTGCCAAGGCACTGGCATGGTAACCTGCTCTCAGAGTGTCTTTATGATAGGGATTGTTTTGTCTGTGGTGGCTATGCTGGGGCAAGTGATTTGAGGCAGTGCTGCCAGACACTGTGACCTCCAGATGAGCTGAAGGGAAAGCCCTTCCACATGGAACATTTTTCCTAGGGAAGGGAGAGCAGAGCAGCACCACGTGTCCAAAGATGGGGAATAATTCAGTTCATCTGTTGGGGAGGGACAGACATTACACCGAGGAGAAATCACTTCAGTGGGAGACTGCAGGAGAGCTGCAGCTGCAGAGGAAGATGTTGGTCACTGAGATACTGGTCCATTGCTCCATGCGAGGAAGTGGGAAAAGGAAAGAGTTCTGCTCCTCTTAGGACATGCAGTTCTTCTTCCTTCAAAATCCTAGGTGGCTGCCTCTCTGCTGCTCTTCTTGGAGGAAGAAGATGCCTTCTGGATGATGTGCGCTATCATCGAGGAACTGGTTCCAGCCTCCTACTTCAGCACCACCCTGATGGGCGTGCAGACCGACCAGCGTGTCCTGCGACAGCTCATTGTGCAGTACTTGCCCCGTCTGGACAAGCTGCTCCAGGAGCACGACATTGGTAAAAATGTGCCCTACAAACCATAGCTTTTCCTGCCAGGGTGACACGCAGACAAAAATTATTGTTCTTCCTTCACAAAAGGAGAGCAGCAGGGCTAGGAGCATACCTCCTGGCCCTGGAAGCAGTGCATGGTCATCTTTGAGCTGGGAGGAGGGCATTTAGGAGAGTCCGTCTTCACTGGTTGGCTGAATTCCCTTTGTCATGTTTCTTTTCCGCATCTTTATTCTCAGAGCTCTCCTTGATCACGTTGCACTGGTTCCTCACCTCCTTCGCTAGTGTTGTCCACATCAAGCTGCTGCTACGTATTTGGGACCTTTTCTTCTACCAGGGCTCTCTGGTGCTGTTCCAGCTCACTTTGGGCATGCTCAGTATGAAGGTAATTCCCACCTCCTCTTCCTCCTTTATAGTATTTTGGTGTTTAATTCTGAGTTTTAGGGGCAAGAAGGTTTTGTATCCACTTCCTGTGTGTGGTTTGGGAATGTGCTGAGGAAGACAACTTCCTGCCTTCCTCAGAACTTGTGAAGTTCTTGTGAAGAACTTCCAAGGCACTTCACAGGATTCAGGGATTGCTGTTTACCCTGCCTACTTCATTTGTTCCCTTATAATTAAACCCCATCAGCTGCCCCGCTTTATTCAGTCTAGATCCCAGCCTGAGAGTCCATCTTACCTAAACCAAGATACCTCTTGATTTTGCACCACGTCTGAGCAGAGATACAAAGCCAAGGTTGTGGTCATGTGGGAAGCTTTTGATGGCACTGTTGAACGCTCCAAGAGATTAGCATTGTCCTGCCTACATTTGATTTGGCTGGTTTACATTTAACCACCTGATCTTTTCCTTTTTATGCGAAAAATAATGTTGTGGTTCAGCTTGCTGTGTGAAGGGCAAGGATGAGCCTGCTGGGAGTGAGGGGAAGGTGGAGCACAGTTTGACATGGTAGGCGCTCTGTAGTGTGTGAGACTGAGCACACGTTGTCCCCAGCAAGATTCCTGTTCTGTTTTGTCTTTGCTTGCTGATTTGTCTTCATTTCAATGATGGATGCTGTGATTCAAAAACATGCTAGCTAGAACTTTGGGGTCAGATCTCAGTGCAGTAGAGTAGTAAAAGATGCTGTTCCCCTCCCATAGGTAGCTTGGACTCTTCCTACTGAAGTTTTTATGGGGTTATCTAGTTGTACCTGCATTGTTTCTGGCCCAGGCTATACACTGAATATAAAATTGTATCTAGCAGCCCCAAGAGCATAGCTGTCATGCTCACTGTTCTGTATGACAAAATGACTGCATTGTTGCAGGAGGAAGAGCTAATCCAGTCTGAGAACTCTGCCTCAATCTTCAACACGCTCTCGGACATCCCAAGTCAGATTGAAGATGCAGATGTGTTGCTGCGGGAGGCCATGCGCGTGGCTGGCACGCTGACAGATGTGGCGGTGGAGACCCAGCGTCGCAAACACTTGGCCTACCTCATTGCTGACCAAGGGCAGCTGCTCAACTCCAGCACCACTGTCAATAATTTATCCAAAGTGAGTGCACAGGGTCCCATCTGCCTCTGCTGCTCCGTTTTTACCATTCCCTTACGTGTTCCCTCCCAATTGCTGTTTGTGAGCAAGAGGTCCTCCTGTCTGAGAGGATTTTGGCTCCAGGATGACTGTGTCATTCAGTGGAGAAAAGGTGTTGGGAAGTGAGGGGAAGGTCTGTACTAATGAAATGCTGCCAGATCTGTCCTGGTTGATAAATCCCCAGGTGAAAGGGATATTGACATTGATTGTAATTGTCATTACCAAGAGTTATGATGGAAAGTGATGCATTTTATTAATGGAAGCTAAAAGAAACAACATATGCTTTTGGCAGAATTTGCTTGGAGCATGCAGAGTAGGAACTGGAGTTAATCCATTAGTAAGAAACTGATACACTAAAATAATTCTGGAAGGAGGAGTCAGAAAACAGCAGTAGCCTTTGAGAAGCTGAATAAAAAAATGCATCTGCGTTTAATCTTGGACTACAGTCTGCAGTTGCGGATGTTGTAGCTCCTGCTTGTCAAGCCTGTGTGGAAGACATATTCTTGATGCTCGTCTGTGTGCTAATCACAAGACACTCCTGCAATTCTATCATGTAATAGGCATCCACTTAGAAATTTATATATAATTACATGTAGAACTGCTTTTGGCAACAAGTAGAATTAGAACTAAAATTATTCACTGGAATCATGGTTGATTCTTCAACTTCAATTATGCTCTCATAATAATTGAGCTATAAATAACTCATTGCCCATGGAGCAGATCAAGCAGTAGAGCTGATTCATTGCGTTAGAACTAGAACAACTCCTGTCTAAAATTGCCAGTGCACTTGCCTGCCCCTTCCAGTAGCAGCTGTCAGGACCTCTTGTCCAGAGCTGACCTGTGTGGAGGATTGCTTTATTTTATTTCTGAAATCTGCCCTAACGTGTGCACTTTGTCCTCTCTCTTCCCTCTCCCTCAGATTGTGCGGCGCAGGACTCAGCGCAGGAAATCTGGCATCACCTCTCTGCTTTTCGGTAAGGACAATCCTGTGCCTTTCATGTGGTGTTGATGGATGTAGCAGCCTAAGAGGGAGGGAAATGAGCAAAGCAGGGAAACACTGGGACAGAGGAAGAGGAGAAGAGCGAGCCAGAACTGAAGAATGAGAGGGAAAAAGTGTAGTTTTCTATTTGCTTGTTTTGGTGTGAGCTCAGAAAGTGAATTTTAGGTTAGATGGTTAGTCCTTAAATGGTGACTAACAGCAGGCTGCAGCTCAGCCCAGCTGTAATGTCCTTGCACTGACCAACAGGTCAAACACATTTTCTGTCAGACCGTATGCAGTCCACAGGCTGGATGTTGTACTCTCCTGATCTTATTCTGATCAGTTCAGGAACATCTCTGAAGATCTGAGACAGGGCAGGATGGTCCAATGTGTCACCCATCAAAATTTATAAATGCAAAACTCACTGATGTTTCCCCTTTGAGAGTTCGATGTTGTGAACACTTTTAAGTCTTAATTTTCTTTGTTTATGAGCTAAGCCAGCATATGTCCAGAAATCAAACGGCCAGAATAGGTTTTGCATGGGTTTAAAAGTAACTTGCTTCTGTGACTCCGTAGTAGCCCTTTCTATTGTAAGCCTCACTGTCATCACCTTCCTTGCAACTGGTTAGCTTTCTTGAAATTGCCACATCTCACCACAGAAATTGTTTTTCCGGAGGAGGACAACATACTGAATTTACAGAGTTCAAACAGCATTTCTGTTGTGGTTGAAATGGCCTGAATAAATCTAAAACTGGGTTTTACCGGTCTTTTCAGAGAAGAGCTTTTCTGATGTTCTCCAGGAAGCTGATATATTGTCACAGGCTTGCTACAAGTTCATACAGCATTACATACAAAAGTTATGGTAGAAGACCAATGAAGCTGTAAAGTCAAGCATGCAGAAGTGAAGAAATGCAGGGAAGTTGCTTGTGCAACCTAAACTCAGACCTCTTGTATGTAATGTTGTCATACAGTCAGTACAGACTGAACTGGTAGGGAACTTAGCTGCCAAATGCATCTTTCTTGTGCCTCAGATAGTCTCCTTGCCCACATTTCAGTAGCTTTATGAAAGCTATAGCGAGTTATACCCATGCACAAAGATTAAGTTTAAGCTTCAAAATGTATCAGTGGTAGAACTGAGATGATTGATAGTGTTTTCGTATTTTAGTAGGGTTTTTGTACAGTGACTATCATGGTTTTTACCTAATATTCTTAATAATTAAAACATTGGTTAAAATAGAGAAGAGCAAGAACTTACCCAGAACTTAATTCTTCTTCCTTAGAGTGAATGCGGATTTAGTAGTGACTTGGACAGGAGTTGTAGAACCACAGGAGCACTGTTGAGAAGGGACCTCGAGATGCCTGTAGTCCAGCCTCTCCTGCGCAAAGCCAGACTCTTGCTCATGCTAGATCAGGTCGGCCAAGGCTTTCTCTAGCTGAGATTCAAGTAGTTGGACCAGACTTCTAATGAAGGGATAGAAAGAAGAAACAGCAAAAGGTAGTTTGGCAGAGAACAAGATGTGCGTGTTGCCCTTTTCCTGTTGGATGAGCATTGCAACAAGGGAATACAGGAGAGCTAGTCCTCCTCTGCACAACTGTGCAGCTAGTCAGTCTTTGCAGGCTCAAAATAGAGCCTCCTCACATGTGGCCGATCCTGCACTGGTTTCCTGTTTTGGAAATGTACATGCAGGTGTGTCGGGTGCAATGAGGTGAATCTGGTGGACACCCCATTTGCTTTCCTCTGTATCATGTCTATTCTACAGTGGGAGGGTGTGGAACTTGCTTCCCATGTCTCCTGCTTATGTTTGGGTGGGATTGATCTGAGTACAGAGGGAGGAGCACGGTATTTCAGCCAGAAGGGACTGAATGGCGACAGAAAGAATCAGTGATGTATGTAAATGAGGGCAACCCACTGAGCTACTGTGGCTATAGTTGAGTAGTTTCTTTTTTAGTCACATTCTGTTTTAGCAACACGAATTTTCTGGGAATCCCCGCCGTCTGCGTGATCGCCTATCTATTTACAACCTTTGTATCTCTGAATCTGTAGTGAGATTTCTTACATGCTCTATTTCCTACCCCTGGCCACTGAGGAGGAGGTTTTGTTAATTTTCTTTGCTTGGACTGGGAGTAAGTATGCCCTACAATTTTTCTAGTCCAGAAGCAAAGTTCAGTTTTCTCTTAAGCTCTGTGTGTCTGATTCTCTAATAATTTAATTTAGCAAATAGAAAACAATTATAAAAATAATTCTAAATCTAATTTTGTGCTTCTATTTATGTTCTTAAAGTTTTAGTCTTTTTAATTAGGATCACTTGTGATTAAAAGATACTGTTAATCACTTTTCAATAAGTAGAAGCTTCATGTGTACATAGCTGTTGCAGCAGCTGTATAGCTCAGGCCACACTTTATTCATATTGGTTTCTGTAATGCTGTTAGAAGATAAGCAGAGTACTAATTTGCTAGCCAATGATTTACTTGGGTCTCGCATAAAAGCTGTGTTTCTATAAAAATTGGAGTTCAGTGAAAAATACATTGTTTTAAAGGTTCCTTTTGTTAATCCAGCTACCACATCTTCAGTATATTATAGAAAAAACAAAAACAGATGTATGAAAATACATTTCTAATTTGAAACAAACTGTATTTTTTTTAGAAAAAAAAAGCAAACGGTTCATTGTTCCCAAACATCATGTACTGAATTTTTAAGGCATTCAGATACATTAACTGCCTAAAGAATCCATCCCATTAGGTACCTTTCTGCATAAATTAATTGAGATAGGCCGTCAAAACTCCTGGAGGAATTAGTGATAATTCAAAGATACTTTGGTAACCTTTACTTTGTACTTGTGACCATTTCTATACACCCAAGACCTTTGAAATCTGGCTCTTAGGGAAGTCGAGGTCTTAAGTAGATGGCGGCTTTTCTCTCGTGGCTCTGACTTCTAGACTGACACAGGAAAGTGGGCCGTCTTGGTTTTTCAAATCTTCTTCAAGACTCAGTGAAAAATATCCTCTCAGACTGTGAGGTATGCAAAAATCAGAAGTAGTTCAACCAATAGCTGTTTCAGTTTCAAGAGAATTTCAGTTGAAGAGAATTTTTGTAAGTTCCCTAGTTTTGTGTCCCACCATTCAGCTGTCTACATACTGTGTAGACACTTCTCTGAAGTAGTAGGCAGTACCTTGGTATACTGAGTTATCCAGACAGATCAAAGATGACGTCGTCCAGTTCCATGTGTGGTTTGAAATACCAGCTCCGTAAAATTTGAGACAGTCAAATTGGTATTGGTTATTTACATTGTTGAATAGATTGGCAGTAAGTACCTGCCTTAGTGTCGGCACTTCTAACGTCACGCTTTTTTGATTTCTGTAGAATCAATGATTTCTAATGTTAACAAAAAAATAAATACCTCATACTTGTTTTCCTTTCCTTGCCTTCCCTCGGCTGTGTGGGCTCCCCCAGGGGATGACGATCTGGAGGCACTGAAAGCCAAGAACATCAAGCAGACGGAGCTGGTGGCTGACCTGCGTGAGGCCATTCTCCAGGTGGCACGGCACTTCCAGTGTGTGGATCCCAAGAACTGCAGCATTGTGAGTGGGAACAGCTGGATCTGCACTGCTCTCTGCTCCAGGCATGAGTGTTGAGTGTCCACTACACAGCAGGGCTGTTCAAATGCTCCTGGAGTGCGTGAGCTTGAGGAAGAACACGCCAGGTGCAATGGGTGGAGAGTGAGGGTTGCTCAACCCATCCCTGGTGGAGGAGGGCTGCACTGAGAGGTTGTCTGCCTGCTAGGAGAAGGAAAAGGTTTGGGAACAGGGGCATGCAAGCTTTGGCAGATCAGCTGGGAGTCATCTGTTGCTTTTCGTTCCTCTTTGCTCTTCATCCACATGCATGCTAGGATCTGACTCCAGACTACAGCATGGAGAGCCACCAGCGGGACCACGAGAACTATGTGGCCTGTTCCCGCAACCGACGACGACGAGCCAAGGCACTACTGGACTTTGAGCGCCACGATGACGATGAGCTGGGCTTCCGCAAGAATGACATCATTACGGTGCGTCAGCCTTTGAGACAGGGACCGGGGCAAGACCATGCAGACCCAACTTGTTTGGGATGCTGCACTGCCTCTTCTGCAAGAAAAGAAGGGAGGAGGTCAGCTCAGAGCCCCATTGGACGTCCAAGGGAAGCAGTTGTTGTTTCTGGGGGCTGCCTGGATATGAGGCAGTATGTTCCTGTGAGTGTTGTCTTGTGGGTCATTCTCAATGCAACCACAAAATCCCTTTCCTGGCTGCCATACAGCTGAGCGAAAGATTGATTTCGTCCAGCCTGGGTCCTGGTTTGACTGTAAAAGCATCCGTTTGCGTTTTAGCTGTGGGCATCCCATCTGAAATTGGGGAAAACAGGGATAGCATTGCATTTGTAGTAGCTTTTTGCCCTTGAAGGTCCTGGGCCACGTGAGAAGAGAACATTGGCAAAACAGTTGAGAAGAAAGCAGTTCTTCATTGTGCACACACATCCGGGCAGCTGTAGCCCTGCTGGCACTGCACTCTCTTCAACCAGTGTTTTCCACTCCCTGTTTTTCAGATCATTTCCCAGAAGGATGAGCACTGTTGGGTGGGAGAGCTGAATGGACTGAGAGGTGAGAGGAGGAGGGGTTTGCACTGGGGAGAGTGGGGCCGAATGCGGAGCATCCGTTCATCCACAGCAACTGCTCTGGCATGTTTGCAGCAAAGGCTCTGCCAGTTACCTGGAGCATCTGCCAGGCACAAGGGAAATGTTAAAGCAGGGTATGAGGGCAGTGGTGCAGCTACCTGGTTACTTCTTGCAAACAGCAAGTTTAGGCTCCATCCTCCTGGTACAGGGTGGTTGGGTGCATGTCATCTCTGCTGCTTGTGCATAGTGTCCTGTAATTGGCTTCCTCTTGCAGTTGCCTTAATTCTTGTGATTTTGAGGCTGCTCACTTCCTTCTTTGGGGCTGGACCCTATGAACTGTGATTTATTCTCAGCTTCCACTGGGCTCTGGTCTTGTCTGTATTAGAGGTTTCTCAGTGTCAGACTGGCTTCTTTGTCTGTTCTTTATAGGTTGGTTTCCTGCAAAATTTGTGGAGATCTTGGATGAGCGGAGCAAAGAGGTAATTAAAAAAAACAAAACACAAGAACAACAAACCCCCAACATAAAAAAAAGGTCATGTCATAGCTGAAAAAACATAGTTGAAGAGAGCCATATATTTCCTTTTTTAAATCTGTTTGCTCTCTCTGGCTATTGAGCGCTTAGTGATGTGATCAGGCAGCTTATCTTCCTAAGCCTGTTTGCTCAACTTCCTGATGCTGACTGAGTGGAGAATGAGGGCCCCAGAGGGTGCAGGGGGTAGCTGAGTGTGATGCCTGGGCTTGCAAGGCTCCTAGAGATGAGCTTTGGGAAAGCTGAGAAAGCAGCAGGCAGGTACGCAGGAGGATCCTGCGGGCAGTATTTCTGCCTGCTCCCTGCTGGCTGTGCTCTCTTCCTCCTTTGAGGCTTTGCCTGTGAACCCTGCTCATGCTTTGCAGTCACCACAGTGGATTCTCCCCGAGCAGCTGTGCCTGAGGGGGCACTCTGTCTCAGTTCCTCTCGCAACCGGCAGTGGTGAGGTGCCACCTATTTAGAGCAGATACCTCAACGTGGCCCCAAGGCTGGGGTAACGGATAGGAGACAAACATCATCAGCTGTTGACCTAGGCAATTTGCAGGAGAAGTGGAGAAGGCCCTGTTCTCCCTCTCCTCCTCAGCATTTGGAGAGTGAGGAACGGCTCGAAGGCTGACCTGAGACCCCAAGAGAAGCCCCTAGAGAGATGTCACTATTGACATCTCGCTTGCTTCCTCACCCCCTTCTCAGGGCTGGTTCCTCAGATGCAGATCACTGGTCTGTGTATAAACACACGCTGCACTGCTGAGCAGTTCTCCTCCCAACTGTGGAAATAGAGAGGATCCCACTCATCCTAATTTTGGAATATCCTTTATGCTAACAGCGTGTCAGGGTGACACCTCGGAGTGGTGTACCAGCTGACCTGGGAATTCCCATCTACCCCCCTTTGCCTTGACTTTTAGCAGCTTACAGAGTCCCAGAGAACCCTCGGTGCAAGTCCTTCTCCTTACCTTAGCTCAGTCAGCATCACACCAAACCACAGCAGTTCCTACATGCTGAACGCTGCCAGAATGGTGCTGGGGTCACCTGTGTGATCTCCTGGGCAGCACCTAGGCACAAAGGTCCTGGTGTCCCAGCAAATCCCAGGGGAGTACCACTGAACACGGTGCCTTATGCAAGAGCCAGCAAGAGCATAAGAGATGAAGGGAGGGGGGGCTGGTGGGCACCTGGGAGTGGAAGAGATGTGCGCAGGGAAGCTGTAGGTGAGCGGATCACCTCCATGCTCTGCCCCCTTGTCAGTATGCTGAGAGCTGGCTCTTCATGTTCCTCAGTACTCCATTGCGGGAGATGACTCAGTCACAGAAGGGGTGACGGACTTGGTGCGAGGGACGCTGTGTCCAGCCCTGAAGTCCATATTTGAACACGGACTGAAGAAGCCATCTCTGCTGGGGGGGCCCTGCCATCCCTGGCTCTTCATTGAAGAGGTGAGATGTCTCAGTTCCCTTCTTTGGGGCAGCGTTGCCAGAGGGCTGGGGTGAGGGGGCTGTAGGGCAGAGTGTACTGACTGTCCCTCTGCCTTACCAGGCTGCAAGCCGGGAAGTGGAACGGGACTTTGACTCTGTGTATTCTCGCCTTGTGCTCTGCAAGACTTACAGGTAAGGCCACTTCATTCACACAAAGTGGCTGGCTCTGTGCCCTGCTCCTGCGTGCTCGTCAAACTGCTGCTGCTCTCCACCTTGGGAAGGGTCATGGTCTGCCCCATCCTCCTGTCGGTGTGGTGTCAGCAGGCTGCTGTGCCCGTGCTGACTTGGGACTGGCAGTGGCTCTTGCCCCCTTCCTCGCGCTCCTGTGTTTGCTTCTGGGGCTGTATCTTGCTCTTTCATGGCTGCAGGATCGCCTGTGGGCTCAGCAGTAGCAAGCAAGCTGTTGGGGTACGGAGGGGGAAGGGCCTGCTTGTGCCCAGGGTGGCTCCGGAGCTAGCTAGCTCTCTGCTGTGATCTTTGCAGGCTTGATGAAGACGGCAAAGTCCTCACTCCAGAGGAGCTGCTATACCGGGTGAGTGCTGCCCCCAGCCCAGCCAGAGCCCAGCTAATGTGGGGAAGTTTCCCACAGAGGCTGCTGGAGGGTGATGCCCTTCTCTAGGGAGATGCTCAAGAGTCTCCCAGACCTTCCCTGATGGGAAGCAGTAGAGACACCAGGTGCCTGGGGAAAGGCAGAAAGTGAAGCCATCAGGAAGGCCGGGCCCCTCTGATGCTGGCAGGTGGCACTGGGTGAGGGTGGGGAGCTCTGGGGAGGGGAGCATTTGGTTGTGTTGCTGAAATGGCTGCCCGGCCCTGCCTAAGGCTAAGCTGAGAAGGCGGTAATGACATCTTCCCACCCTGCAGGCGGTTCAGGCTGTGAACGTGACGCACGATGCTGCACATGCACAGATGGATGTGAAGCTTCGTTCCCTCATCTGCGTTGGACTCAAGTGAGTCGCCCAGTCCTGATACCCCTGGGCGGGGTGTGCCAGGAGCTCGGGAGAGGGCAGAGTGGGCTCAAGGGCAGCAGTTGTTTCAATCTACCTTAGGCCACAGGGTATTTTTCTCCCTCTCACTGCAGCCACTGAGTGGGACCTGCTCCTTTCTTGTTCATCGTGCTGGCCTGGCTCCTGGCTGGAAGAAGTAGCTCTCATTGCATGGAGTGGCTCACACAAGTTTACTGGGTTATCCTGTTCTCCCTGGGGACAGGACTGTGGGCTGGGGTCAAGGCTTGGGCTGGAAATAGACTGTCCCAAAGGGATGGGGCTTCTTCCCCTGGCTTCAGCCGAGTAACATGCCTCTAACCCATCGCTGCAGCGAGCAGGTGCTGCACTTGTGGCTAGAGGTGCTGTGCTCAAGCCTGCAGACCGTGGAGAAGTGGTTCCATCCCTGGTCGTTCCTGCGCAGTCCTGGCTGGGTGCAGATCAAATGTGAGCTGAGGTGAGTCTGTCCTCGGGCCTTGCCAGGGTCTGGAGTGGATTTCTTCCTCCCCTGCAGGAGGTGGCCCTCACTATGGCTGGCTTTGGACCCTCTCCAGTGAGTAGCAGCGTGGGCTGCCCCGACATCCCCGCTGCAGAGATTTCCTTCTGTGTGCTGAGGCAGCAGCAACTGTCTAGACAGTTTAATGCGATGCACTGTGCCTGCCTGATCAAGAGCAGAGCTTGGCTCCTGGGGAGCTGTCGTGACAGGCAGGCAGCCTCTGCCTGCAGCAACCTCCTGCTGTGCCCTGCACCTACTCTGATCATGCCTTTTCCAGCCCCTGCTTGCCAGGTCCTCTGCCAGCCACCGTGAGTCCAAGCAGGGAACAGGGAACGTGCTGTGAGACAGTCTGGCTGTTGCTGGCCAGGAAGGAGTCGCTCACCAGCTGACTCCTGGTTAAGCGAGGGAGCGGTGTCAGGGGCTGAACGTGGCTGAGCTCGCACAAAGCACATCGCTTGGAGCCCAGGGCACACGTCCACGCTGCTTGCTCCTGGCCCTCCCGCACTTTGCAAAGCTGCATCCAGTCCCAGGGAGCCACAGAGCAAACCCCACCGTCACCACCGCCACTCCAGCCCTGCTGCTGCTGCCATGCTGCGGGAGCTGGCTTTTGTCTGTGCCACCCGGTTGCCTCTGGCCCCAGTGGGAGCATCTGTAGCCGGGAGCAGGCCTGTGTGTACACACCTCGGGGTGCCCCATTCTCCTTGTGCTGCTGCTGAAAGGGAGGAAGGGAGTCCCCTCCACCTCTGTGCTGCGGTGTCCTGTGGCTGCTTTCTCGCAGCGTGGAGGCAGCGCTAGTTCAGCACAGCCAAAGGACCAACTGGGACTGGTTCGTGGCTGAGCCCAGGTTTGTGTGGAGCAGGAGCAGATGCTTATGCCATATTTCTCCCAGCCAGCTTCCTGTGGAGGGCCTTGGCTCCCTCACTGCTGCAGGAGTTGGAGGAGACCCCCACGTAGGAGTTTCCCCTGTACCTGAAGGACTGACAAGCTTGTTGCCAGGTCTGAGCTGTGCATCCCTGTCCTAGGGACAGGGTTGAGGCTGTGCCTGCAGCCCCTGCTTGGAGCCAGGTCCAGCAAGGGAGCCCTGCATGCCAGCCCCACGTGGCACTGGTGTGTGAGGGTCAGGACACTTCTCTTACTCCAGGGAGAGAGAGAGGGGTGCAGAAACTCTGAGGTGCTACTGGCAGGAGTCTGCTTTCTGGAGAGGAACCTGCGATCCTCCGATTGCTGGCTGCATGCGGTCCTCAGCCATACCTGTCTGTGGTCTAGCAGAGCCCGGGGCTCCCTGTGCCTCCCTGCGCTGCTGTGTCAGGCTCTGTAGGGGATGCGCTTGAGTCACATCTTCAAGCTTCTCTTTCCAGCCTGGGCCTGGCAGGATGTGAAGCCCAAAGAGGAGGGGAAACAGGGGATGAGTGGCTGGTGCTGTCCTTCCAACACCAACAAAACAAGGATTTCCATCCTTGTAAGCTTAGTGGCGTGCCAGGGCAAGCTGAGGAGCCGGTGCAATTGTGTGCCTGGGGGCAGCAGTTGTGGGCACAGGCTGGGGGTGTGATCTGGGTGGGCGTGCGCCTGTGCGTTACCATCGCTCTCTTCCATTGCAGAGTCCTCTGCAAATTTGCCTTCAGCCTCTCTCAGGACTGGGAGCTGCCAATAAAGAGGGAGGTGAGTAGGTGGCATCTCTCATTCTCTCTCTCGGCCGCGGGCTTCGCTTACCGCCTGCCCCTCCCAGCTTTGTGCTCCAGCCCATCCTCTGCCTCCTCTTGAGCCGGCACCAGAGGCCGTGGATGGGGCCACTCTCCCTGCCAGGGCAGGCTGCGCGGGAGCTGTGTGGCAGTGCTGGCAGAGGGTGCTGCCCGCCCCTGCCCAGCTGGGGCAGAGGGAAATGGCAGGCCCCTCCCTTCCCCGGTGCTCTCCAAACCGCAGGGCCTCTCCCTGTTTCAGCTGCACGGAGGTGGGAAGTGCAGAAGGCTGCTCTGTCTGGGTGCCGGAGACCTCGGCGTGCTTGGGCTCTGCCCGCAGACACAACCTCCCCTTTTCTGGGTGCGGTGCACTGACCCGGGTCTCTGTGTCATCCTGCAGGAGAAGGAGAAGAAGCCACTGAAGGAAGGGGTGCAGGACATGCTCGTGAAGCACCATCTCTTCAGCTGGGACATAGATGGGTGACCCCCACCCCGCCCCATCCTGGGGAACCTTCTCAATGGCGCACACTCCTCTCCCCCATCCCCATCATGTCTCACCCCCTGCCCTCCCCCACCCCACCCCCTTATATCTGTGACAAAATCCCCCTCGCGGGGGGCTGCCGGGCCACCTGGGACAGATGGCAGCAGCGCCGAGAGGCCGAGCTGCAGACCCAAGGGAGGTGATGGTCGAGGGCGATGCTGCAAAGGGACAAGTGCGTTCTGGCCACAAAAACAAGTGCCCCCTCCCAGCCTTCTCCATCTCTGCCACCCTCCCCCCCATCTTCTGCTTGCCTCAGCCCTGCTTCCCCCCCAGTGCCTGGGGGAGCAGCCTGGCCCGGAGCCCCTCATGCGCTGCCCCATGGGCTGGCAGCTGCGTGGTGCGTGAGCGTGTCTGCTGCCGTAGCTGTGGGGAAGAGACAGCCCCTGCGGGGTGGCTTTGATCCGTGAGAGCTGGTGCCGTTGGCAGGTGGCACCGCGGGTGCAAGTGGAATTAGGCTGGTGAGAGACTCGTCGCTGTACGGGAGCAGGGATGGCACGGCCCCCCCCGCGCCAGCCACGGGCTCGCCTCTGTCGGGGAGAGGGATGGCAAACCCTGAAGCGCCTGGACAAGTTCCTCTGACCTGGAGCCGGGGCTGAGAAGGGGGAACCAGCATCAGCCTCATCCCGCCTCCCTGGCACTGGTGTGCGGGGTGGTGACAAGAGGTGCCCGGCTGCACCGGCCTGTTAGCACTGCAACAGCCTTAGGGGATGGGCCTTGTCTCCTCTGGGAGCAGACAAAAACCACCTCTCCCCTAAACGAGAGTGTTTCATGCTGTCATTTTAGTTTCTAGATGATTTTTACTGTTAACCAAAAAGCTGTAAATTAACCCCAGGAACGTGTATATTTTGGCACCGTTGTAGCTCAGGACGAGGTTCTGGTTGGAGCTGGCTCAGGGAGACTAACTCGTCCTCCTCGCCCTGCGGTGGCAGCGGGGACGCAGGTCAGGAGTGGAGAATTGCTGCTTTGTGGTGGTGGCTCTGGATATGGAGTCTGTGACTTTCTACTGAAAGCGCTTGTCTGGGAGCACAAACTACTCGTGAAATGACACTAGATTCTTACTTTCCTTTATTCAGTGGGTTTGTAAATAAACTGCATCTTGGGAGAGTGCTGGGCTTTGGCTTTGTTTTTTGGCAGGGCCAGGACTAGATTTAACTCTTAATTTCTGCCGATCGATAATTATGACCCCATTTCTGCGCTGGCCCCTGCCAGCGTCGAGCCGAGGTCTGTGCTCAGCCTGCGCTGGCACCGTGGGGGCCAGGCCAGGCCGCGGCCGGGGCAGGAGCGCTTCTGCTGCCAGCAGTGGCAGCCCTGCCTTGCCTCTCTGCCGCCAGCCCTCCCTGAAGCGCAGCTCCGCAGCAGAGCCCCGGGAGGCCCCGACAAGCAAGAAATACTGAAAACGAAGGGAGGTAGGGACCCTGCGAGAGGAGGGCACGTAGCAAAGGGAGAGGGGCTGCCGGAAAACAGGGCTGGGTGGGGGTGGACAACGGCGTTGTCTGCAGGTTAACAAGCTTCTCCAGAAAGAGCCAGTGGTGTCCCTTCTGCAGAGTGGGACAGTAACAGGGCCCTGGGAGAACCGTGTTCAGAAGCCCAGGCTCATGGGAGGGTGGAAGTTGCAGCATATTTACCGATGTGAAAATCAGTGGGTTTAGTCAAAGTCATTCCACTTTGGCATCTGGCTGAGGAAGGCCGCAGTCCCACCTCACCACCGTAACAGCCGGGGTCCAGACCAGCCTGCTGGGCTGTGGGGAGCTGTAAAAGCTGCCCATGCTTCTCCTATCGTAAAACCTACTTGTGGTTGCAGGGTGGGTGATTTCCATACGCAGAGGGAATCTCCCGGCAGCTGAGAAAGGATGAGGCACCACCACTCAAGCTTCTTTTTTTTTTTTAGGTTTGAGAAAGACCCAGAGGGATCACCCACCCTTAGCTGGAAAAGGCAGAGTGACCCCAAGCCCTCCCACCAGCATAGCAGACAAGTTTTTGAGCACGTGGCTGTTTGGAATTTTTTTAATAAAATGGATTTTTTTTCAAATATTTGTAACTGAAAAAATAATTCAATTTAAAGAAGATCCATTCTCTCCCCTGTTGTCACTTTTATCCTTTTCCAGTTGAATACTCGCTCTGGATCCGATGCCCCAACACCATCCGTCTCAGATGGTGCTGACCACCCCTCGCTGTTTGCTGCATAGTGGAAGGGAGAGTGCGTGCTAGTCAAATACACGTTACAAACAAGTAGTGGTTACAGCAGAAAGATTCAGGATTACATTCAAGGTAGAGGCAGAACATCAGACTTTGTTTTTCCCAACGGGTGCAAAAATGTATGTCCAGGGGAATACCTCTTCCAACAAAGAACTATTGAACTATTATTCAAACAAATAATAGTAAGAAAGCAGAGAACGGGGGTAGCCTGCTCTGGGCACTGCCTGGGGAAAAGACTTTCTAATATTTCCTGGGATGAGGCACCATCTTCCCCTCTGCCCCCGGGCCACAGGGATATCGCCTGCTCTCCTGGCAGGAGCCCCTGGTGCAGAGGGGCTCTGGCAGGGTAGCTGGGTTCCTCGGGAGGGGTGAGGCTCCTTGAGGGCTCTTAAGCCCAGCAGCCAATTTCAAGTACGTTGGGTAAAGTTAGGGTAATTAAACTCCTACAAAGTTTCACAAATGATGGTGGCTGGGTCAAGGTGAAAGGGAGCGGCTGTGAGCTCAGCCCTTCACCAGCAACCCTGGGGAAGCACTAGATCGGTAACGGGCATCGGCATCTCTCTGCCAACGAAGAGTGGGGTGCCTGGCCCAGTGCGAGGAGCAATGGCTGGGTCAGGCCAGGAGTGCAGGTGGAGTGCTCCCACCTTCTTCTAGGAGCTCATTGCACTTCAATAATTTCATTCTTTCTTTATTTACTGTTGCAGCTTTGTAATTACTTGTACAAAAGAAATCACACAGCCGGTTTCCACCCCCCCACACACATACTTTCCTCCTAAGAAACCACTTGCCTCCTGTGCCCACCTGGTCCCAGGGCTGGGCAGCTGCCCTGGGGGGAACGGGTGGGAGCTCTGTAAGGCAATTGCTAATGCACTCACTGCTCCCAGCAAGCACCAGGGCTGCACCGGGACAGAGGTGAGGGAGGGCTCAGCGGGGTGAAGGAGGTGTCCACCAGTCCCAGTTATTCTGATTTTTTTAGGACATGACACTGCAGCTTGGGCAACAGAAAGCAGGCGGGGCAGGGGGAAAGGGGGTATCCTCTCACTCCAACCCGGACACGGAGGGAGGCAGGTAAGAGGCTGTGACTTGCTTACAACAGGGGGTGGGGGAGAGGGGAGAGAAGGGGGCAGAAAGGAAGGAAGCTGCCAGCAGGCTCCCCCTGCAAATGATTAAGAAAGTGGCTCCCCATGCAGTTAACAAGCAAATAGGGCTCAGGAAAGCAGGAGTTTCTCCCAGCTGCGAAACAGGCATGACCGCACCTGGCTGCCAGTGCAGTGGCTGACAGAGAGCACGTCCTGCAGGGCTGGCATCCACCTGCCCCGCCGTGGGGCAGGGGTACCCGCACCCCTGCAGCAAGGCCTCCCCCTGAGAAGAGCGCCAGGTACCAAAGGGGCCCGGGGCATCGTGTGCCCACGGGCACCTACCCCTCCCCAGCAGGCAGCACCGCAGCCTGGCGTGGGGGAAAGGTGGGGACAGCATCCTCAAGGAGCTATTAAAAGGATGGCAGTTTACCCCTCCATTGCCTGAGCAGGGTCAGCACCTTAGTCCGTATGATTTCAAAAGCCACTGCCCGCCCTGGCTCCCTCAGCCCGAGCAGCCCAGACCCAGCTCCGGGCCAAAGCAGGGGTAGCTGTGCGGCGAGGCGGCCGCGTGGGGCACAGCTAGGCTATGTCTCACCTAGTAAATACGGCGGTGAGTTACTACTGACAAACAGGAATTTAAAAGCGACAGGAGTAACAGCACGAGAACGAGCCACAGGCCTGGGTTTCCAACGCAAAACCCTGCACAAGAAATAAATAGCATCGTCATGGCTCTGGGGGCTTGGGGTACTCGTCCGCCCACTCGTCAGTCAGCAGCTACCCCGAGGCACCAGCCCGGTGCCCGACCCGGCAAGGAACTGGCTGGACACAGGGCCGCAGCTCACCGTAAGCAGCCCTTTGCTTTTGCCTTTTACCCCGTGGGCCTGGAGGGAAGGAGAAGCAGAGGTCTGCTGCCCATCACTTGCTTTCAGGGGAAAGCCCCACTTCTTTCCAGAAGAATAATAATCTTTTCCACTTTCCCCACTCCTCCCCAGAAAGGGGCCCTCACAGGCACACTGCTGCGCTAGGACCCGTGTTGTGCCACACCACACCCGGTTTGCAGCGCTGCTTCCCCTTCCTTGCCTGTTGGGTCTGACCTCCTCAGCTGCTGCTTTCCACTGGGGCACCTGCTACAGGGAGGCAACAGCACAGCTGAAAGCAGGAGGGAGATTGCACATGGCCCCTAATATGTTGCTCATTGCTAGCTGTGCCCCTCACGCTCCCCAGGACAAACAGACACTTTCTCGTCCCTAGCCCCCACCGCAGGCTGACAGCCTTGCTCACCTGGGGATGTCACAAGTGCTGGGGGGGAAGAGGGGTGTGCCTGAAGGCGACTCCAGGCACAGCCAGAGGTCTGGGGCAGCAAAGGACAGGTTTAACATATAAGGACCTGCATTTTAGCACCTTAAAAATCTGTTTTGCAGCCCAAAGCGAGTGAAGCAAGCAGGCAGGCCTCTGCCAAGCTCAGCAATATTTGGGAAACCAGCTCGGATGTTACCAGCTTGGTGGGGAACCCTGGTTCCCTTTGGCTACACTTGGAAAAGGTGCCTGTTCTGCCCAGCTCCTCACAGCCCTGTGGCAGACCAGACCCTCCCCTGACAGACGGCAGGTAGTGCGGAGGGCAGCCGTTTCGCGTCCTGCTCCGGTGGTAGAATCCCCTTCTGCAACCGT